TGTGTGACCGAGCCCTCTTCCACAAGGCCAGGAAAACAACTATTCATGAAGTTAGGTGTCTTCATCCTCAACATCTAAATGTGATCACAGATGATCCGTGTTAGCTTGTTGCTGCTGTAATATTGCCAAACGGAATAAATGCTGTGTCAAACATGTAATGGACAATCTTGGTAGATTTAACATGTTCTGGCAATCCCGCCCTGCTGGCAGCACCGTCCCCCCACAGACGTCTACCGGACAAGAGTTACTATTGCTCCCTAACATGAGTTCAGATTAAAGGCATCTTATTTGCCTTTTTCCCCACATTGTTATGATGTCATAGTTTTGCAGTGTGGTAGGTCAGTTGCAATGTTGATCCGGGATCTACACTAGTATAATGCAGGAACTACATCAACGTGGGTGCCTCAGACACACCGTTAACTGAACGTGCAGTTTATTAACTTTTAGAGTTAGGGTTTGGTCCAGTTTTCACACATGGTTCAGGCAGCACTTCTTTGGAACAGCTCGTTTTGTTGGTTATTCTGGCCATGGTTCACCCCGGAGTTTAAGCTGGTGGAGCAATAAAGCTCACCTTAACTTTGAATTGGCTACTGGGTTTGTGGCTTTGGGGACCGGGGCGGGGATACCCGTGTTTGAGCTTTATGTTGCGCTACGGACGTAACAAAGGACACTTTACCATGTTATTAAAAAACTATGATTAATTAGAATGAGCATTAATACAATTTAATCAAAGTGATAGGAAACGTGATGTAACTTGATTCTGTTGCAGTTTTCAACAAAGGCTCAGTCCCCAAAATTATGTGGGCTAGCTCCTTTACTCAACAAGTTATGAGAGAGTAACTGTATCCTAACCCTGTAACTTACAGTAACTATAGTACTTCATATTTAAAATGTAGCACATTTAATGAAGCAAAGCTACTGTACTTCAGGTGGGAGGCACTCACTGAACCTATTTCACATGGAGAGATGAGCCAATAGGACATGAAGCTGTTCTTAGTCTTGAACACAAGAACGCGGCGTTTCTCACCTGAGAGGTCGCGAGCAGGTGTACCGCACTTGGACTTGGAGTCTGACTTGGTTCACATTTGAGGCCTAGAGAAGTGAGGATTTCTGTCAAGACTTCATACCGCGACGCATTGTTGACCTTCAGCTCATCAAAAGCGTCCAATGGCAAATTCTGAGAGTCGGGAGCAATTTCAAAGTGGACCTGCAGATATACATGTTTAAGTAAAAACATCAGAGGATGCAGGAAACATTGATGTGGCAGCAAAAATGAGTATTATTTATTTTATACTGCAAATATTTGCACCTAATAAATCTGCTTGTAATCTAGACATCATATGACACCGGGCTTCATTTACTAGCCCAACAGTTAGCAGTACCACATACCCACTGCCAGCACCTGGATTCATTCAGAATGCATAAATAATAATAATAATAATAATAATAATAATAGTGATAATATTTCTAGACCCGACTGCAAAAGGACAGAACAGTTCCTGGATTATAGAAGTTTCAGGCTGCTGTGGCAGGTAATTTACTGCCATTAATAAAGGAATCGTGTGCTATAGGGAGACTGCTAGATCAGCTGATCTCTTAGATCTGCTGCTATAGGCTCAGACTGCTGGAAACATCCCATGATGCAATTATCCTTCACCTGAAGGCATTTTTGTGCAGTGCAGCACTGAAGATGGAAAATCAGGAGAAAGAGCAAACATCAGAGTTGAATCCAGGCTGCTGCACTCCTGTGGTGGGGCGTACCCACTGAGCCACTCATCTCATGTCAGTCACTGAGACCTCATACATCTGAACCTCTTTCTTCCTGTTAAGAGATTTTCCAACTGCCGCCAAGTCCTTGGACGTGGGATCGCCTGAATGTTGGGCTTTTCTCTCTAACATCACATGGTCTTTATGTGTGAGGCAACTGTTGCTTTGATCTGACACT